TTATAGATGAGGAGACCCACACCCCCAGTGTCTTCATAGCTTGTGTCAGCCCTTGCTCGAAGTTGGGTTAGGACCCAAACCTCAAGGCTGATGGTTCTAATGTTAAGCCAGCTTTGTCCAAAATGACATTCTGTACTGAGCTGAAATTGGATGGCTATAAGTTAGTTACAACTGCCTCACTGTGGAGTTTAATGAGTAAAATTCAGGGGCTCTTGTTAGACATTTAATGTCTCTAATTACCAGGATTGGTATTAAGTCCTGGGCATGCAGGATGAGTTAAAACAGTAGCCCCTGTCCTCAGACTATGCTGCCAGAACTATAAAGATGAGTAACTGAAACACAAGTACATGAAGTCCATTTGCACCGAGTGTAATGGTGTGCCTGTGTTCACACATGTGTTCACTACAGTCAGGGACATGAGAATGGACACTAATCAGAACTCTCAGGGAAGTGTTTAGAGAACAGGCATTATTATACTGGGCCTTCCTGAAAGTAGGCAGCCTAGGATGCTGAGGGCTATGGGGAGAGTGCCGAAGTGGTAAGAGCTAAGCTTGGGCAGTGTGCTGAAGTTAAGCTGAGCTGAGTTCAGTGCAGGTGGGAGCCAGAGACCAAGGGAAGGGTGTGATCCAGTTGCTCTGGCTACTGTATAAGGAATAAACTGCAGAGCACCTGTGGCTATTTAAATAGACTACAGAATATAGTAACTGACCAGGGCTTGGACAGTAGCAGGGAGGTAGTGGAGGCTGGCTTACTGACACATTTTCTAAGATGAACAGAATTTCCTGACTAGTTAATTTTGGGCATTGAGTGCAAAAGAAGGGTTTCTGGCATAAGCAGTTGGCTAGGTGCTGGTGCTGTTTTCTGAGGTAGACCCTGAAAAGAAAAATTGAGTAGCATGGCTGGCTGTTTCGGACATGGTGCCACAGAGATATTTATAAAACCCTTAGGGAAAACTGTGAGCCAGAAGCAGGAATGGGGGCGGACGTCAATACAGAGCTGGTAGTGAAGTGCTGGAAGGAGCTGTGGTCACCCAGGAAGGGAGTGGAGTAGATCAAAGAGAAACCACTTAAGTGGCAAGAAGAGACTGGAGAACCAAGGAGGTGTACTCCTGGGTAGGGGTGAGGGGTGGCGAGTGAGCAGGTGGCCCAAGGAGCCACAAAGGGTGGGACCTCCTGTGATGCCATTCTCGTGACACCTGGGTTCTTGGAGCACTTCACTCCATTGGTCTACACCAGATAGTGGGGTGTGCCTGTTGGCACTCGGGAAATGTTATAATCTGCATGACTGCAAATGACTCAAAGCTTTGCTCAGCTATTTGAAGTCTAGGGGGACTTGGCAGCTCTCCATTTTGATGTTTTCTGAGATTAACTGTTGAAAGCTGAAGGAGCCCCAGGGTTTCTGTGCAGCCTGGTCCTGCCTGCAGAGTGATGGAGTGTGGGGACATAGGCAAGGCTCCAGGGCCCCACCTCCAGCCTCCTCTGCTGCCTGCACCCTGCCTGCCATGCACCCAGGCCTCATTGCCAGCAGAGGCAGGCTGTGGATGTGGAGGACGGTGAGTGCCTATGCCTGGGTCTCACCTGCCCAGTGACAGGATGGGGTCCATGTGGGTGGAAGAGATGAGTTGTTCAGGAAGAAGCAGCCCCGGGGGGCAACAGAATGGGCAAGATGGGTTGGTGGACAGTCACGAATCTTCTCACTCAGAACAGCTGTTTGTGTTAGAATTGTGGGATTTTAGGAGACTTTGCACCTCCTTCCCATTTTAGAGATGAGAAAATGGGGCTTGGTGAGGGAAGCGAGCTGGGATCCCCAGGCTGAGATGATGAGTCCCCTCTAGCCTCACACCTTCACAGCCTTCAGATCCTTCATAGCCAGTATTGGTCTGCTTCACCTTCTGCAGGAGAAGGATCAGCTCTTGGCTCTCAGTTCCCTGTGGGGAACTGAGTTCTACTTGGAGGTTCACTCCTTTATAAACAACTTTGCTCTTCTCTGTTAGAGGCTGACCCCGAGTCACTAGTTCATTAATGGACAGGAGGAGTAGGGGAGGAAAGAAAAGGGACATCTGGAGTATAGTAAATTTCCTAGAGCAAAAATACTTCGACTGTGTCAGATTCTTTAATTTCTCTTTAAGACAATGAAGACCATATCTCTGAACTCCACTAACACTTAGGAATGTACAGTGAGGCAGGGTGTGCCAGCAGAAAGGCTACAGGGTCAGTTCCTGTTGACCTTGGCTCCAGAGGCAGGTCCTGGAGGCCTTGCTCATGGAGAAGGTACGGAACCTTAGCCTTGGCAGCTATGGCCAGGCCGGTCTCTGGGTGACATGCCTGTGTAGTGGATGAGCTTAGGCCAACCCTCAGGAAATGCAGTGCTAGTAGTCTCCCTGCCCCTCACTCTGTCAGGGCCCCAGGGGGAGTTACATGGCTCTGTTTCTACAAGAGAGCTCTTTCTGCCACCCTTTTTGTGTGTAGAAGTATTGACTCAGGGTATGCCCAGCTGTGTGGCATGACACAGTTAGATGTTCCAGAGCTGGCTGGGTGGGGTGGGGTACTTTGTGGCTTGGGGTCTGGTGGAACAACTGAACCCATGTGTGCTTTTGGCTTTTACTGCTTGTTACTAGGAGCAGAGCCCCATGTTGGGACCCTCTGGGAACAGTGTGTCCACAGAGAGGCCTGCCTCAGCAGGAGTGCTGACAGTGCTCTAGCAGCCTGGTGCTACAGGGCCTATGTGTGGGGGCCACCTCCCCAGAAGGGTGACTCTGCTCACACTGAGTCCCAGCTGGGGCTGAAGGTTGCAAAACAGCACCGCTAGGGGACTGATGCCTGTGTCCTACACTAGCACTTGAACTTGAGGTAGGGGGATGGGAGCCTTTGTAACATGGAAGAGTGAGCCCTCAGGGTTTCTTTGGCCCCTACATCTGCCCCTATCAGCCTGCTCCTTCCCAGGCTAGGTCAGCTGAGGTGCAGCCAGGCTATTTTGCCCTTCTTCCTGCATCCTGTACCAGTCCAAAGCCACTTTCTCCCCATGTTCCTGCGGCTTCCCAGATTGGCGCTCACCCCTGCACTGCCACAGCCTCCTTCATACCTGGACCAAACTGCCTCACCTTCCTGCTCTCTGTCCTCATGTGCCTATATCTTTGTCAGGACTGGGTATCATTTTAGTTTATGTCCCAAAGAAATCCATTTATTGCATTAGGCCAGTGCCAAATACATATTTGAAAATAAACACTGAATCTTGCTGGATCACACTCCCTTGCTCAGCAGCAAGTAGGCTAAATACTTGTGAGCGGAGAGTGGAGAGAGGCAGCCCATCGCCCCTCGGTGCAGCGGAGGTGTGTTGGAAGGATGCAGAGCTGACTGTCAGAGTCTGGGCTTCCTGAATACACTGCAAGAGCCCAGAAGTCAGAGCAGGTCCCTCTGTAGGGCAGAGGAAAGTTGGCTTTTGCATACTGGTGCAGAAATGCTTACCACTTATGTGGTCTTGAATCACACATACCTGTAAGAAATCCGGGATGTTTAAGAGGAAGGTAAAGGGACAGACGGTGTCCTAAGCCCTATGGAACCTCCTGTTTACCATACATTGGGGAGAGCTATGACTTAGCACCTAACAGTTCAGTGAACTATACTCTAGTAGTGTGTAACTTTGCCACATTAAAAAATTGGACGCAGGACTGTGAGACACTCTTTCCTACTGGGCCCTGGAACTTACTTGTCTCTAAGTCATCTTTAGTTGTTGCGTCCTATCAGATTCCTTCTAGGTCGCATTGGAGTAGTGGGGTTCCTAACCTCTGCCCCAGCTGGAGCCCCAGCCCAGGTAGCTGAGCAGCACCTCCACTCCCAAACGTGTTCTTGGACCTCCTCTTGTTACTCTTCCCTAACACATAGATGCTAGGTTCCTCTTCCTCAGATGTTTTCTTTCCAGACCTTGCCTGGAACTTCTTTTTTTTTTGTCAAATCTGAAGCTCATATCTGAGCTTCCCAGGCTGGCCTCAGCGCTAGCCTGGCCTGCTCTTTTCCTCCCCACAGTCATCCCGCCAGTCATTTGCTCCCACCCCACTGCAGTGCACCTCTCAACTGTTTCCCTCCCAGTGACATGGATTTGTGGGTGGATCTTTGCTTGATCTTTGGAGAATTCTAGCCAAATCCTAGGACATCCTGAGAATTCTCCTACCCAGTTGAGGATGAGGTTGGCACTGGGCCCCACAAGCCCACTGACTGTCCCCAGTGCTCTCGAACACAGAATCAGGCCGTTGCTTAGGGAGGGAAGTGCCGGAGGAGTCAGATCCTAGAATGGCAGGAGAGCCAGGTGGGAGGATAGGTGTTGGAAGCAGTTGTCAGGAGAAGAAAAGCTGAATGGTTCCATGCTGCTGTTACAAAGGTGGGGTGCTTCTAGGGTTCCCCATGCAGGGGAATGTTATTATTAGAGAAGCACCCAGGCTTGGCTAGGGACAAGAGTAGATTCCAGTGGGACCTTCCTGAAACACTCTTCCCCTTGTGGAGTCCCCTGCCCTTCGTGGATGCCTTTGCCCAGGCCCTCCTCGGAGGCAGACACCCACTTGCTCCCTATCTTGACAGACATCAATGTAGTTCTGCTTGTAGGCACCAGCTTTGCTCAGTGATCAACTTCACTTTGGAAATTTGTTTTCTTTATTTTATGTAATACTTCTTTTTAATTGTATTGCTTTGTGTGTGTTGACCATGGTCCTGTTTCTGTAATGAGTGAAAAATAAAGCTCCTCTCTGTTGGGAGAAATGTACTGTGTTTGCCTGCCCACCATGAGCGAGGCCCTGCTGGACTCTACCTGGGGCCTTGATGAATAGGATGCGGTCCTTGTTTCTGGGGGATTTTCAAAGTAAAGAAGAAAAATAGAGTAGCAAAACTAGTGTCATCTGAGAGAGCTGCCCCTACCCCTACCCTTAGCTGAGAACTAAGCCACGTGGGTAATGAAAGACAGGCATCAAATGAGGAGAAGAATGAGCAATTATTCTGCCACCAGGAGGTCACTACAGCCTGCTGCCACCACCTAGGGCTTGAGGGGGAGGAACAGCAAAGGAGCCCTGAGAAGGCTGTCCTTTCCCTGGACTGGTGCCTGACTCCTAGTGAGCCCCTTGGGTGAACTGCACATGCCACACCCCCAGCTCCCAGGCATGGCGGGAGTCCTGTCCAGCCTGGCCTCCCACTGCGGCCCCTCCTCCCCAGCCTCCAGACTGCCCTCCCCACCCCCGGAGCCTTGCCTGGTGATCAGACTCCGCTGCCTGGTGGGAGCAGTAACATCCTCCTTCCTCTCCATCTCCAGAAATGTCTTTCCTCCAGGACCCAGGCTTCTTCGCCATGGGGGTGTGGTCCATTGGTGCAGGAGCTCTCGGGGCTGCTGCAGTGGCGCTGCTCCTGGCCAACACAGACATGTTTCTGTCCAAGTCCCAAGAAGCCACTCTGGAGTACCTGGAGGACATAGACCTGAAAACACTAGAGAAGGGTAAGTGTGACCCTGCTGCTCTCAGTACTTTTCCGAGGTGCTAAGGTACAGGGCTACTTATTCTTTTCTTTCCAGACTAGCTCTTTTTTGAAAAAGCAATATAATAGCATTAGGAAAATTGTAATAATGCTCTTTAAATTACTTTGTTGCATTATCCTAACACAAGCATTGTTTTTCTTTTGGCCTACTTTCTTACATACATATTATTATATTTTTATGATGTTGGTATAAGCTATTTTACCTTTTTCTTTTCAACATCATTTTTCACTTTATTGCATCTCTGTGGTCATAAATTACTCAGTAATACTTAATGATGTTAGAACAGCACTTAGTGAACTAGCCTCTTCACGGAGCATTCCGAGGAATTCTAGGCTTGTAGTATCTCCCTCAAAGAAAGGACTTCCTGAGTCCATGAAGTCTGAGACCCACTTCTGTCCAGTTCCATATTCCTGATGTTCCAATGGGGCCTGGCACATGGGGGTTCTGGGTTGCTACTGTCGGGGTGTAGCCCGAGTCAGCCCCCTCTCCGGTCTGGCACTGTTGAATAGGTTGTGTGTCTGCCTCCCCTGGAGACCAACCCATCCGGAATCCACCAAGCGACAAAGCCACACTCGCACTCATGGTCATTCTACCTCTTCACTGGCCATCTGCAGTGTGCGGGCTTAGCCCAGTGGGCTCTGTCATGCCCAAGTGCACACTGGGGCTCCGGGGCAGGGGTTATGCAGGTTAGTTCCTAAGAGGAAACCATGGTCCTGTTCACCAAGGAAACTTAGTTAAGGAGAGCAGAGGACTCCTGTTAGATGGCCTCAGTAAGGTGTACAGACGCCTGCCTGTTGAGCTTCGTTTAACCCAGGCTTTTTAGTGTCCTTCAATTACAGTTTCACTCTCTCCCTCCTTCCTCCTTTGTCCACATAACATTCGGGGACATGAGTGCATCTGAGATATAAATTAGGGTTCATATTTTAGAGCCCTCACTATCTGTTTGAGCAGACCCCAGTGAGCATGTTTATGTTCATCTGTTAATATTCCCTGCAGCTCAGAGTGGGATCGCCACGTACCTCCTTTTTACAAATGAGGTCACTGGGGCCCAAGAGAATAAGTAGCTTTGCCTTTCTCAGGATTCCACAGCTAGCATCAGGCTCAGAGTGACCTCTGAAGCAGACTTGGGCTTGGTGCTATCTTACCCCTTAGCATTTCCTTATTGGACATCATCATCTGGCCTGCTTTATTAGTAGTAGTATAGTGAACACTTTTTTATTCCCTTGAGTACATTTTTAGGAGTGAAGCTGTTTTGTTGTTCAGAGTATAAGACTTGAGTGTGGGCCATGTTCATGCTCCATAGGGTGTTATAGTGTCCTATGATGCCAGCCATAAAGGGAATTATGATTGATCTGGAAATACCACAGCTTGGAGGATTCAAATTGGAAAGTAGATTTTGGGGGAGGGACCTTTTGAGTCCGCTCCTTCAGCTTTGCTCTCTCTGCGGGAGATACACAGTCCCTATCTGCCTGCATCTGGTCCTCTGCCAGGTCTTGTTTCTGACCTTGCCTTGTTTGGGAGTTGCTAGGAGTTGGGGCAGGGCTGGGAGCAGAGGATGTTGTTTTCCATTTCTTCTCTCTTAGAACCAAGGACTTTCAAAGCAAAGGAGCTATGGGAAAAAAACGGAGCTGTGATTATGGCTGTGCGGAGGCCAGGCTGTTTCCTGTGCCGTGAGGTGAGTAAAGGACCCAGATAGAGGGGCCTTAGGTTTCCTGTGCAGAATAAAGGACCCAGATAGATGGGGCCTTAGGTTTCCTGTGCTGCAGGCCCCTTTATCCTTCCTTCAATCCCGAGCTGTTCTCCTTTACTTACAATAGGTATTTCTTTTAGCATAGACTCTGTTCCTGTTTTGTAATGCTTGCTATCTCCTACTGAGGTTGGCAGCACATCTGACTCCCCTTGGTGCCTCCAAACCTTGCACGGGCATGTTGTTGTAGCATCTGTGTCCCAGAGTACTCCCATTTGACTCAGGGCGGTGGCAAGATCCAGTCCCGTGTCGCTACAGAGTCAGCACAGAGACACACCTATGAAGTGGGGGCTGGGCTGCTCATGATAGGGGCATGGTCAGCCCCCTCCTGTGTTGGGCTACAGCACGAGCAAAGCTGTTCAAGGCCACATTTTAGAATAGACCTGCCTGTCTGCCGGCCTGGGAGCCCACCAAGTCCTGTGTGGATAGCTGAGTACCACATACTTCTGGTGACTGCTCCTCTGCCCCTCTCAGGGGGTTGGGGTGCCTTTCTTACTGATGGCATGGGTGCAGTTGGCAGGAGAGCCAGGAGAGAGTTGGAGCTCACTGACTGAGGAGTCTCTTGATTGGCCCTTCAAAGGGAAGCCATTGCCATCTGGACAGGAAGTGAGCAAACATACCAAAGGAGAGCACTTTGTGTCAGAGGGGATTTGTCACTTTGTGGACAAACTAAGAGCCAGCATGATTTGATGGACTGCCCAGTAGGGAGCAGAAGCCCCAAATTCTGAGATGGCCGCCTCGGATGGAAGAAAGCTGGGAACAGCAGTGTTCCTGTCCTAGCAGCAGCCTAGCTTCCCAGGTAGTTGCTTTGTCCTCGCCCATGTTCCATGGGTCACTTCCCACACTGAGGGGTCTCCTCTGCATCCTGGAGGTATCTCCTGCTTGTGTATATGAGGAATCCACCCACTTGCATGGCACGTTGATGCCTGTTATCTCATTGGCCCTCACTACCTTCTGGAAAGGCAGCTTGTCCTTACTGTTCCATTTCACAGAGGAGGCAGCAGTGGTGCGGAGGTTGGAATACAGCTGCACTGTCCGTAGTAAATTGCTGTAGCAAGTGGCCACCAGTTCAGGGTCCTTAAACAACACAGTTATTGTCCAACCCTGGGTGGAATGCAGTTACTTTGCTCCTGGAGGCTATGGCAGAGGAACCGCTGCTTTGCCTTCTTCAGCCTCTGCGGGCTGCCAGGATTTCTTGGCTTATGGCCTGTGACTCTGTTTTCCAAGTCAGCAATGGCTGCTGGTCGAGTTGTTCTCAGGGTGTGTGCCTATGTCGCTGACCACTTCACCTCCCTCCTTCACATTTTAAGAGTCCTGGTGATAACATTGGGCCCACAAAAATAACCCAGGAAAATCTATGTGTCTGTCTGTGTATGTGTATCTATGTGTCTGTGTGTCTTTGTGCACACATCTGCTGGGATTTGAACCCAAGAGCCTGGGCATGTTAAGCATACTACTGATCCAAAGCCCCCGTCTATAAGACAGTCTTCTTACCTAGGGTCAGCTGATCAGCAGCCCATGTTTCATTTCAGACTTCATTTCCCTTTGCCATACCACATGATATATTCATACTTTCCAGGAATTAGGATGTGGGTGTATTCAGGGGCTCACTACTCCACCCACCCCTACAGCGGAGTTTAAACTCAGAGCTTTTGATTGCAAATCTGTAAGGCCTCCAAACACCAACATGAAAGCCTGTTTTGACTTGATCGCTTGAGACCAGTGAAACCCAGAAGGTTCCAAAAGCAATTATTTTCCTCTGTGCTGGTCCTTGCCTTGGCAGAACATTTTGTAAAAACAGTTTTCAAGATGGTGGATGGGTGGCAGTCTGGGTTTCAAGATGTTGGTTACCCTGAGCTCCTTGGAGAGGCCCAAGGAAGATGTGTATGACTCAGTTTCCACTTCATGGCTTTATACAGTGACATACGCAGCATAAAGAGCCCAGAAAAAGCACATAGAACTTAATCGTCCACGGATGGTCTTTGACCACATCAAACACTGTTGTCCTTCCTCTTTGCTGTAGGGCAAAACTTTCAGTCCCTGAACCTCTTGATCAATGCATTATAAATTCTCCCTTACTCACTATCCTTTCTTTCGTGTTTTAGAAAATAATGAAAAATTAAACGTAGTTGCCAACATAGAGCAGCACGTGTGTATTGGAGGTGAGCAGGCCCTGTTTAAAAGGATTTCCTGCTGATTCTTGAATTCTGACACCTAATAATAAGGAGGAAATTGTTGTTAAGGTTGAAGCTTTACAGTAACTCATGCGGGGTTATTCATCCAGTACACGGTTCCTGAGGGTCAGGGACATCTGTACCATTCTGCTCGGCTGCACTCGCCCCATTGTCTAGCTTCAAATCATTCTGCCTGGAATTTACACCCTCTCTCTATCCATCCATGTGTTAGGCATTGAGGGCTCCAGTGAATGGAAGACTTAGTGTCAGACTGTGGCACACATCAGAGGTCACATGACAACATTCAGCTTAGCAGTAACACCCAGGCTTAACATCAAAAGTCACCAAGCAGGGCT